CTGGAAACTATATGGGTTAGGAACCCAGAGAACATTACAACAGAAACTGTTCAGACAGCGATACGGATATGGGATAAAGCTGCAATGGTTCAGGACATCAGTCAGCTTGAACAGCATGGGTAATGAACAGTTTGTATTTAAATAGTTCCTAGCTCATCAGTTTAATTCTCTAGAACACACAAGGATGAAGACAATGGGTCAGAGATTCAGGAATAGGTGAGGAGAAGAGGATGGAACTCTCCCATAGTATTGCTTCCTATAAGGCTTTGCAAAACCTAGAACCAACTGTGATTGCTCCTCAACAGGCTCTTCATTCTCCTTTTGTCCAATCCAGCAATCCTCCTCTCAGTAAGAAGGTTTTTCTCTCCCCCACTCCCAACCTTGCTTCCATGCAAGTTGGGTTTACAAATGCATTTACTGAAACGTCTTATCCAGCTTTCATTCCTGACTTTCCTCCATCAGCTTCCCATGAGGTGATTAACAAACCAAGCTCTGTAATGATCACAAAGGGCCAGATAAGCAGCTGGTTAACCTTGGTCTCATTACAGACAGAGAGTTAAGTCTGCTTACACACTGCTCAAAATGTCTGACCCTGCCTCTGCGTACTCTGCTTTAACATTTCTGTTTTAAATTACTGAAAAGATTTTGTATTAAAAGTTCACTCTGATCTAAAAAAAAAAAATCTTACTTAAAAAAAAATTCCACCTACCAGACCTAAGCAAGCTTTGATTCAGCTTTCCAATAGACTTGGTTTGGAAGTGAAAAATTAATTCCACCAGAAACTCCCAAAAGTGAAAATGGCCTACCTGTAAACCCATACAACTAAAAGCACATCTTAAAACAAAAACAGGAGGAAAGTGGTTAAAAATTCATGTATGTTGAAGTAATTGCATACCCCTTCCCTCCCTGTCTTCCTTGGTTATATTTTAAAGGAGTAGGAAGTTTTCAGAGCAAGGCCCTGATCCTATGCCCAGCATCTATGCAAAACATCACTGGCTTCACTGGTTCTCTCCAGGTGATAAGATCCATCCAAGCAGATCTAGTTGCCAGTTCGAGGCCAGGGAGGTTGATGCTGCAAGGCACTGAGGACTCTCAGCTTCTGTTGGCTACAGCACTTATTACTGAGCTTACGTACAACTTCACTGGGAGGGAGATGCCATTGGAGTCGCCCTGACTTCTTGTATTCCATTGCCTCTATGTAGTCATAAGAGTTTGGGCTGGCAGTTCTTTGCAGGGCAGAGGCTGTAATTGAGAAAAATGAGATTTGAAAATAAAAAGGGATGTTAAAGTTTCATTCATAAAACACATCAATGTTGACTTATGGTTGTCTATAAAGTATTTAGAAACCCTTGGCTGTTCCATTGAATTTTCCAGCAGAGGTAATTATGAAAGTCATAGAGAGCCAGGCTGATCTAACAAAAATCATCACAATGTATCAATATTTGTAGCTGTGTCTGATGTAGGAACTGCTGCAGAGCAGTCTGGGTTAGTATAATTAATTAGGACTCCAATAGAAGCTGCTTTTGGCAATTCCTAAACTGGGTTATAGGCACATTCATGAATTCTTCATTAGTAAATTGAAATGACTAATATTTTAAATCTTCTTTCACTTTTGGCATCACTTAATTGATGGAGTCTGTTGCTTGCTAATTTGTGAGACCCTAATTTATATTCAGAAAGTGTTTTCCTAACAGGAGTCTGTTTCTTGGACTTGCTGCATTGCTTCTGAGCTCTTCAAATAAACACTGTCAAGTAGTTTCCTTTTATATCTCTTACTTGGAGAAACAATTAATGCTGAGACTGCATGCTTGAGGGTTTTTTTTCCTAGAAAGAAAAGGTTTTTAAAGGGGTATTGATTTTACTCATCAGATAAAAAGGGAGGGAGCTGGAAAGATATTTGTAAAAAAATAAAAAAACCTCTTAAGATTATATTATAACATCTGGGTAGGGACTATTTTATCTGCATTTGTGCAGTCCCTCGTATAGTTGTGTTTCTTGTCACTTCCACAGTAAAAAGCACCCAAGCCCCATAAACATGTATGCCCTTAACTTTAATACTTGACTTTGGTGACCGTAACTCATTTATAGTTAGGAATGTGTAGATGTGTTTGCAGGATTGGAGTCTAAATGATTAGTAATATCACAATTACAAATGAACTACATTTTAAACATAGAATGTATAGAAGGCTTTCCTTAACTGTTAGGTTTGTCTTCTGGTTATTTTCTGCAATAGGCAGACTCTTCTTTTAATCTGCAACATGATTGCATTTCTCTGTAGGGTCACACCAAGATCAATGCCTTCAACTGGGCCAAGGTTCGGAAGCTCAGCTTCAAGAGAAAGCGTTTTCTTATCAAGCTGCGGCCCGATGTGAATGTAAGTCATTGGTAGGATTGAAGGAATGCTGGGATGGGTACTTTGGTGAATTGCTACACATGGGTAAAATATGAGGTTTAGTTTCTTAGCTCATAAGTAGACCTTTTGTAATAATTGCTTGCATTCATTCACCTTGGTGCTAGTGCTTTTATAACTTGTTTTGTCATGTCAACATTAAAACTGGCATCTGTCGTGGGCAGCCTCAACAGAGGACATAGCTGAAAAGACTTGAACAAGATTAACAAACAGGCAAAAATTTTATCTGATGCCAAATTTACTTAACGTACTGGTCTAAAGCCAGCGCTAAAACCACGATACACAGCTTCCTTTTAAAGCTGGGGTTGCTGGTTTTGTGCCCACTTTGAATTATTAATGTTAAGTTAAACTGTGGGGGCAATGCACTGCTACTATGATACACAACTGTGATGTTCAGTGGCCCTAGAATAGGGATAGATGTCTTTGCCTGCCTGCAGGAGGGGAAGAATCTTCAGTTCAACAGATTCTCCCATTCTGGAGTTAATGAGTGATGGGTCTCTCAGTTCTGAGAATACGTCGTACCACTTCCAGTGGAATACAGCACTAAACAAATGTTCTGAAGCTGATATTGGATGAAACTCAAGGTTTTGGTATGGGGTGCAGGAGTAGGGAAGCAGAAATGATTAAAGGGTTCTTGGTAAAGGAGGAAGGATGTGTTAATCTACTTGAAGGACTTCTTACAAGATATTCCCATTAAACAACATTTCAGAAAAGTCACTACAAATCATGTTTGTAGGTCTTAGTCATATGCTGTGCTTCAAAAAAATATGAATGATGATGCTGTTCTGTGAAATCCATTTGTTTCTTCCTGGCTGGATGCTGTAGAAAGGTGAAATGTCAGCAGGTATAAATATCAATTGGAGCGAAGAGAGAAATATAAATTGGAATATTCTGATTTAATATAAACAGCATTTTGCAAAAAATTTGAGGAGCCTTGCCTTAGCTATGATACATGAGGCAGCGAGAGAAAATTTAGGCAGTTGTTATGTTATAGTCCTATGAAGAGTGTGTGGAGAGTTGTCAAGATGGGAGGATGGACTCAATAAGCAAGGAAAATTTGCAACATAACTTCTGATCCATCAGTGTGTAAATACAGTGTGTATTTCTCCCCTATTAACTCACGCAGTTGTTCATGCTCTCTCCTCTTGAAGAGTTCATTCCAGGACACCTTGGAGTTTCTGATGGCTAGTCGGGACTTCTGCAAGTCTTTCTGGAAGATCTGTGTAGAACATCATGCCTTTTTCAGACTTTTTGAGGAGCCCAAACCAAAGCCTAAACCTGTTCTCTTTTCTAGAGGTTCATCATTTAGGTTCAGGTAAGACTTGATTTTTCTCATCTGTCCCCTGCTGCCATTCAAATCATAACACATGGTCCTTATTCTAATCTTGCATAATTAATGTTTCTTTCCTCCTCCACACTGCAGACTGTGGCACTATAATGTCTAAGGACCTGTCCAACCATGGAAGCTTATGCATCTCTCATTTATTTGGTTTATAAGGTGGATCTAGATCCTGTCTTCTGTCCCACAAGAGTAGCGTGAACAAGGCTATGGAATAAAATACTAAATGCCTTATATATAGTAGCTTATGTAAAGTTAACTGTTCAAGGCTGTATAGGAAAGTGACAAATTAATATAGTCCAGTGCGTTTGTTTCACTCGACAGACAATCTGTGCACTGGACAGACCCACCAACAGTACTGCTGTTTACTTCTCTGCTGCCTTAACAGTGTCCCTTGAGCTTCCAAGGAATAAGCCTTGTTCTACAGCACACAAGATTTTCAGGTTTTCCTTGCATAGTTTCTCTGAAGCCTAACAAATTCACTCCCATTCAGCAGAAACCTTGATTCCAGTGAGAAGGTGAAGACTGTGGCTAAAAGGAACAGGAGTTTCCCCTTAGGTCAGGTGTCCACTTAAGACTTTTGTTGGTACAGTCATCATCACTACTTAAAATGCCTGCAGCTAATGCAGGCAACCACTTTTACTGGGTGAATTGTGCTAGCTATTTGCCATCCCTTAAGGTTTCAAAAAAAGACATCACTTGCACCATCTAAAGTACACCTGCTATTTTTCCAGAATTTGATGGTCTCATCAGTTTTCTTGCTAATGCCAGTTTTGAAATGGACATCCTTGTCAGTTCACTGCTGATACCAGCTGTAGTTTTTCAGTCCACCTCACATAGTGGACATAAAACCATTAGCCCAGTGAACCACCTGTGTGTGATGGCAACTTGTATAGTAATATTGGTTATGGTTGTGACTTCCTGTTTTCTATGCTGGCAAAAGTCCTCGTATAGATGCAGCTTTATTGCCAAAAAAGTCCTTTTGCCAATACAGAGTATGTTGTTTAGAAAACTGGTATAAGATCTGTCAACAAAGCACTCCTTGCGAGAATAAGCTGTAACTACACTAGGAAGAGTTATCAGTATAGCTCTGCTGGCCACCCTTTTCGAGTTTAGACATGGACTTGATATTAGTAAAGCCAATGTGTCACCAACCACGTTCTGATTTAGTTCCGATTTCCTACAAGCTGCATTTTGTTAGGTCTTCTTTAAAGAAAGGGCAAAATTAGGTATGCCTTACACAAGTATAAAATCATGTCCTCTTCAATCTGTTCCAACTCTCCCTTGTCTGAAAAGTAGAGAAGTTGAGGTGGAAGGACCATCTCCATGAGTAGGTACACATCGGCATAAACTATTGGATTTACAAAAGTGAATGGGAAAAATGCAAGTACATTCAGCATGGGAGAGGTCTCCTGTTTTCCACATCTCTCACTCTGATATCTGCTGAGAGCATTCCAGGAAAGAGACCAACCTTGCCTCAGCTGGCCAGTTTATTGCTCATACCAGTTATGGAGGCTTTTATTTCCTACTGAGCGTTCTCCAGACATAGGATAGACATTTCTGTTTGGGAGCAAATTCTTATTGCTTTCCTTTTCCTCTCGTGTTCATATCCTTGCACAATATATGTGATTGACATTAGTTATTTTTTCATGGAACATAGAAGGAAGACCTGAAATTACTCCCAGACTGAATCCCTACCAAATGTGTTTGTACCTGTAGGTTAATGTCTTTAAGACCAAAAATTGAATGTTGACATATATTTCAACTGTTTTCTCTTCAGTACCAATGTTTATTGAAACCATTTTATTGAGGTAAGACTGCAGTTTAACCCTCAGAAGGCATCCTGCCATGTTATATTTGCAAGAGGAAAGTTGAAATTTCTCTCTCTGCCTTTGGTAACCTTTTAGTAACATAATTCAGTATGAAGGGTACATTGTTAAACGTAAGCATTAAACTAGTCTAGAAAGGCATCTTCGTGGTAAAAAGATGCAAGTGACATTTTATCCATGGATAGACAATACTGTTCATTGCATTCTTTCAGTAAAAAATGTTTATTTGCTGAGTGCTAGTCCATGGGATATAGTAGGTGGGTGGTAGAATGCTAGTACAGATGGCACTGATTGTATGAAGACTGTAAGCACTCTGTTGAGTACGTATACACTTGGAACAAAAGCTGGCACATTATATTGAACATTAGCAAACATAATATTGGGGGTTTAACAGCTTAACTGTCGTTTTGTTCCAGTGGTCGGACTCAGAAGCAGGTTCTTGACTATGTTAAAGAAGGAGGACACAAGAAAGTGCAGTTTGAAAGGTGAGGAGAGATAATCAAAGTGATGTAATCAAATGTTTTAAATGCCCTTGAATCTGAGAATAGTAATCCAGACTAGGAAGACAGGGGGACCCTGACACTAGCCCAGCCAAAGTCCCTTTGGGCCATTTTATTAAGTCATTGCTGCCATAATATTCCTTTAGGAGCTACTGCCATCTGTATAAGTTAAAGCAACCCCAAGATTACCCTTAACTAAACTGGGGTTTACAGCCAGCCCTGTGAAACCTAGTCCAGCTGTTGTGGTTGCTGTGTACTTGTAAGTCTGTTAATGGGTTGGATATTTTTCTATGTTTCTTGTCCTGTGCCCAGGGTACTTCCCCCATTGCATACTAAATTTCATCTCCTTTGGTGAAGCACACCATTAGTCTCCAAAAATAAGAATGGGTTCTCTTTTAATAAGAACGTAAGCCTGAGAATAAAGTGGTTGAGTAATATTGAGGCAAACCTAGCTAAACATTTGTTCATTGGCGATGCTCAAAGGAAGATATCTAACTTACTAGTGACAGTTCTGTCTGTCATCTCATCTTGGTCATGGTGAGTTTAAAGTCACAGTTGAAATGCAAGATGAGCCTGACTCAGGTTCTGGTAATGGAAGATATCTGCCTCAGAGCCCTATCTGCTCTTTACTGGTATTTATGTAACACACACTTTATTTCCCTTGTACAAAAAGAAGGATCATGAACCCATTTCAGGGCAGCATTTATGAAAGCTGCCATTTGGAGCTTTTGTTATTGAGGAAGTGTCTGCGCTTGGTTATTTATGAAAAGCTTTACATGGCTTTAACTTCTTAATATGATTTCTCCCAGGAAACACAGCAAGATTCGTTCCATCAGGAGCCTGACTGCCCAGCCTTCAGAACAGCATTCAGAGGTGCCAAAACAAGTCAGTGATACAGATGAAATCCCATGAGATGCATTTTAAGTCTTTCCCCTTAGGTTGCCCTCCTGTAATTAATGATTCATTATTACAGAGACATGCTTTTTCTTTTATATAGAACCTATGTTAAAGATTATTAGGAAACCCTTAGTACAGGGATTCCAAAATTCTAACTTGCTCATTTAGCATTCAGTGCACTAACCCACAGTGTGGAAAAAAGATCTGCAATACTGCTTTTGGGAGCAACTTCATCTCCCTGTTGGGTCACAGTGCTCATGAATGAATAGAAGGGGTGCCATGGAGCTCTTCATCTGGTAAACGGTACAGTTCCATAAACATTTGAGAACTGCTGGCACAATGTGCTGTTGCCATTGGCAGGTTTCCAGGTTGCAGCTGACTAAAAGGAGAAGATTTTCAGAAATAGCTGTTAGAGGAGTTTCAGATATTCATGACAAGATGTTTTGTTGTGTTGACAGGAAAGGAAGAAACAAATTTCCTTAGGGGAAATCTAGTTAAGAACTCTTAAATCATTCTGTTTGGCAGATAACAAGCCTTGGTCCTTTCGTTGTTGATGATAAACAGCTGCTATTCAAAGCAAAAATGATGGGTTTGATCTACATTAGTGGTGCTCAACCTTTTTGCCCAGCAGACCAGATGGGCAGTGCCTCATCCATACGTGGAACAGATCTCACCAGTAATGCCCATCCAGCCATATGGAGGGAGGCAGGGGGCAGCTCAGCCCCAATCCAGCCATGTGGGGGAAGGGAGTACAGTCCCATAGAGGGTTGGGGGAGTGGGGCGCAGCATGACCCAGCCCCAGTCAAGCTGCATGGGGGGTGAAGGTTTGACTTGGACCTGAGCCAGCCACACAGGAGAGAGGGCCTGGCTCAGCCCTGATCTAGCCTGCAGATGGATGGGGGCATGGCCCAGCCCAAACTAACTGTGCAGGAGGAAGGGGGTGTGGCCCAGCCCTGATCTGGCCATGTTGGGAGGAGGGGACGTGGCCTGGCCTGACACGTCCATGTAGGGGGAGGGAGCATAGCTTGGTTCTGACCAGGCTTAGGAATTTGGTAGCAGGAGAGGCCATATTAATTGCCACTGCTCCCCACTGCCAAATTTCTCGACCCATGGGGAGTCCCACAGGCTGAGTGCCATGGCTCCACTGGCTGGATTTTACCTGTGGGCTAAAGGTTGAGCATCTCTCAGCTATGGTGCCCAGTGTTGGGTTCCCCACTACAGAAGGAATGTAGACAAATTGGAGAGAGTCCAGTAGAGGGGCAACAAAAATGGTGAGGTGGCTGAGGGACATAACTTATGAGAAAAGGCTGAGGGAACTGGGCTTATTTAGTCTGCAGCAGAGAAGACTGAAGTGGGATTTAATAGCAGCCTTTAACGACCTGAAGGGGGTTCCAAAAAGAATGGAGCTAGACTGTTCCCAGTGGTGGCAGATGACAGAACAAGGAGCAATTATCTCAAGTTGCAGCAAGGGACGTTTAGGTTGGGTATCAGGAAAAGCTGTTTCACTAGGTGAAGCACTGGAACAGGTTACCTAGAGAGGTGGTAGAATCTCCATCCTTGGAGGGTTTTAAGGCCCAGCTCCACAAAGCCCTGGCTGGAATTACCTAGTTGGGGATGATCCTGCTTTGAGTAGGGGGTTGAATTAGATGACCTCCTGCGGTCCCTTCCAACCCTAATTTTCTATGATTCTACCTGGATAAGATATTTTAAGTGGCCCAAAAAATTCCGCCAGAGCTCCCTTCAGTTTAAAATTTATCTCTAGCACCATATTCATGCTGCAAAGTGCCTCAGTGAAATCATGCTACAATTTGTGTTTCATTCAAAATAAAGGTTCACATTTCTAAGACCAGTTCAGGTAGAGGAGGCAAAGTACTTGGCACATGCTCTTTGCTTAGAGAAAAGCAATCCTGCAACTAATTGAAAGTACAGTTCCATGAAGTTAATTGTGGATTGCTCAAAACATCACTCTGGGACTCTTTTCATATATGCAGATAGGATGCAGAGAATTTACCATTATTGATATTCCATTCTTTTTGCCACTCTGGCTTCTCCATGGGACACAGGCCTGCTGGTCTGTTTACACTCCTGGTCATTCCCATGTGCCATTACGTCCTCCTAAACATGCAGGCAGTTTTGTAAGTTGTTGCCATGTATTTCCTTTCTTTTCCCTGTGCTTAGCTCAAGTCCCTTTCAGCCCATCATCTGCTCTTCAAGATCAGAGACTTCCATATTTATTAAAGCATATGTTAACAGCTCTTGCTGTCAAGAGAATATGATGTGGCTGCTCCAAGGCCTAGGGCAGGATTCTGGTGTTCTGCCAGAAGCATTCACTGATTTTTCTCCCCCCACACACCTTTCTGACCAACCCCCCTCCTTTCTGTATATCCTCTCCCCTTTTTCTTTCCAGAGCTCTAGCTTTACATTTGGAGATGATGCTGATGCCCCAGCAGTGCAGAGCTGCCAGCAAGGGAAGGAACTAAAAGTGTCAGCAGAAGATGCTGAGCAGCGCAGAAGCCCATCCTTGAGGAAGAGTCCTAAGGAAGGCAGAAGGGTGGATGGAGTGGTGATGGCAACAATGGAGGAAGAAGAGGAGATCGTTAAGGATAGGACACAGCAGAATAGAACTCAGTCGCAGCAACCAAGCACAGGTCCAGCATCCAGGGCTGCTCGTGGAAGCAGCACTTCCATTCCTTTCATTGACTGCAGTGATGTAGATAGCGAGTATGACCTTCTGAGAGGACAAATAACCCGGTCACATTCCCAAACAAATGACAACTATGAGGGTGATTTGACCAGCGGTGCCTATATTCTCTATAGAGATGAAAATTGTAATAGGACTAGGTATAGGGATTCCTCCACCTCTATAAAGACTTCCCAAAATATCCTTGAAGAGTACGTTCATGATAACCCAGCTAATATGTCCTTCTATCTTGGTGGAAGCCCCAAAATGCCAAGGCACAGCTCACTGGTTGATGAATTGTTCAGGGGTCCAGATAGTCGTAGCCCATTGGCCACTCCACTGCCTCCCAGTAGCAAGGGGTCTAGTCCTAACATGAGTTTGAACAGAACTGGCTATCAGGGCTATGGCTCAGAAAATGGGCATGACAGAAGGGTGAGGAGTGAGGAGGGGAAGGAGCATAGTCATGCTTGTAACTGTCAAGGATATGATAGATGTTCTCCAGGCTTGCAAAGGCCTCACTGTCAAAAAATCCACAATGTTCATAATAAATCAGAAACAGACCCATTTATCCTGAGCCAGATGTCTTTAACCCCAGATAAGGAGTACAGATCAGAGAGATATTATAAAGGTGAGCTGGTTAAAATGACCTCTTTAGAAGGCAAGACCATGGCAAACGGTGTGTCAGCTACTGGACAGTCAGAGCAGAGTTCAATCATGCAATCTTTATATGTTAGTGGCATGATAGATCATACAACTGCCATCCAGATGATGGAGGGCTCCACCAGCAGTGGAACAGAATCTAGTGATTCAGACTCAGAAATAATGAACCCTTTTACTGATCCCCTTGTGTTTGGAAATCCCATTGTGCTGAGCTCCTCTCCTATTCCTAGAAATAAGTACTCTCTTGGAAGTCTTCAGTTGGATGAGGAGGTGGAAGAGGATGTGTCTGTTGGTCTCAGCGATGAGGATGGTATGCATGTCTTGAGCTGTTAGGAGCCTGGGACCCCATTCCAGTTTTAGATTTTGACCACGTATACTGTGATGCAAGATGTACAGTAAAAATACTAGGTTGCATTGAAGCCTAAACCAGTGATACATCTTCTCTGAAGGACAGCAGGAGGAGAATCATTATTGATTTGGTTATCTTTGTGTAGTAGCTTATGATTAGGAAGAAATTTATAGATATGACTGTTATTTATAGCAAATCACATTTAGGTGGTTGTAGTAGTTTTTGTGACAATTTACTAGTCATTTTGAAAAATATAAATGAAATTACAGTAGGCACATTGTGCTCTTTTATACAAGTCAAATTATTTTTTTTCTCCTCTCCTGTGTAAGGAGAGTAGTTCTTCAGTGCCTAGCAGCATTAAGGATGAAATTAAGCTTCAGGCCAAATGCAGGAGGCTTGATATTCAAGACTGAGTCTTGTTGACAGCTTGAATAAGCTGAAAGAAACTTTTTTTTAATCAAGAATTGCTTTATTTTACTCATCTTCATAACACTTTTGAATTGATGAGTTAAACGGACAAAATATTCATATACTGGAACTATTGCAGCAGTGGCTTTGTATCTAGAGAATTAAATAGATTATTCTTTGTTGATTCTTGGACTTCAGCTGTCCTCCTGAAATAAAAGGAAGAGGCTGAAGATATTGTGTAAGTGAAAAGCTTAGATGAAATCTGTGCTAAGAAGGGTAGGGCCTTGTCTGAAAGGCAGTAATTACATTCTTTAATAGAATTTAACAAAAATGTATTTGTTGTTTCAGTTGTTTGCATTTTTTTTCTTATTTTCTCATAAATATTGCATGACAGTTTTGAGGGATCTTTTTCTCTGAGCAGGAAAAAATGTTTGCCTGAGCAGAACCTAATTGTTTTGTGGTGGGTTGTTGATTTTCATAGTGCCACCTCATCCACTTTTCAGTCTTTGACAGGGACCAAGAACCTTATCTTCATGGAGTCAGACTCCTGCCAGACTGCTTGCCTTCAGAATGATTGTATTGTATACACTGTAGTATTTTAATGTTTGTACAGAAAGAGGGAGTGTAATTCTATAAACATTTTCTTCCAACAAGTTAAATGTATAGAATTTGAAAACCTATCTGAAAATAATAATTCCAGTAGTTTACTTGAGAGTACTGAAAAAAGGCTAACTATCCAGGTGTCCTGACATAATTATGGCCATGCTACAAGAGGTGACCTTCACCCCACCAATGGCCTTAGCCTTCCCACTAAATGCTGTTGTAAAGGAAAGAAATTAAATATTGAAATCAGTTAATTTTGGCAGAGTCATTGGGAGCATTGGCTGAACTGTGCAGTTGACAAGTATCCATCTACTCACTTAAATATAGATCAGGCTTGTCCAACATATGGCCTGCAGGCTGCCATGAGGCCCGCCAAGCCCTTTTCTGTGGCCTGCGGTGCTGCGACGGGAACCCCTTGTCCCTCCCCCAGCCCTTCAGCAGCTTTCTAACGGCTGCTGAAGGGCTGAGGAAGGGATAAGGTTCCCACGCGCACCGCGTCAGCTTGACATTGCCGACACAGTGTGGCTCCTCACCTCCCCCCTCATTTCACTGTCCCTTCCTCGCCCCACCCCTCTCTTTCTCATTTGCATGCCAGACCCACCCTGTGCTGGTCCCTGCCAGCCATGTGGGCTGGAGCAGGTCGCAGTGCAGTGGGTGGGCGGGTGCAGGGGGCGCGGATCCCGGTGTAGAGGGATGCTGCGGCTGGGCCTGCGGAAGATGCTGCTGCCGCTGCTGCTGTGGCTGTCAGGGCGGGAAGCCAGTACTGCTTCCACCTCCCCACATCCCCCCATGCCTGCAGACATTGCGCTGGGAGTGGTGAGTCACGGGCCCTGGGGAGGGAGGGACCCTTGCTGCTTGGGCTTGGGCTGCCCCAGGGGAGAGGGAGCAGGGGGGTGTCCCTGCACATCCTGCACCCCCCTGTAGAGTCCCCACATGTCCTCCTGGCTGCTGAAACCAGGTGTGCAGGTGTGGGAGCATCCTCGAAGCCACCCAGGTGGTAGGGAGGACACGGCAGGGTCAGGCGGCACCCGTTGACCCCTGCACCCCCAGGCTGCGGCCGGACTGGACAGGCCGCGCAAGCACCTGCTCCTGCCAGCCCATTGGGTGATAAAAAGTTCATGATCCAGCCCCACATTCAAGAAGGTTAGACACCCCTGATATAGATGAACCAATTACAGGACTTTTTTAGTCTAGAACATTATAAATTTTCAGAAACTCATTACGTTTTCCCTTTTTATCTGAACAAGGGAAACAAGAAACATTTGTATCATTTTCTAATGCCTTGGTCAAAACATATTTTAAGAAGTCTTGAATATGACCCCAGGTGTAGCCAGAGGAAACGGCTCTACTGGTTAAAAAGGTAGGGGTGCTTCTTGTGCATCACGTTGATCTCCTGTAACTTTCACGTATCCACTCTATTCCACAGTAAATGAAAACTAACTCACCTTGATTTAACAGTTGTTTCAGTTGGGGATGAACTGTTTGAAGCCTGTTTTGACTTCCCCTTACTGTCCAGTAGGGGAGGTACCTGAGAGAGTTAAAACAGATCAGCTGATGTGTACTCATAAAAGTAAGAAGTCCCACCTTCTTCTGATTTGGTATAGCTGCTTCATCTGTCTATTTCCTGAATAATACTTTAATAGATAGTAATTTACAATAATTTAGATTTTTCTTGTTCTGTATTTCACTTTTTTTTTTGCTGTTCAGTATACCGGCATGTATATAAGGAGTTTTACCTGTCCAGATTCTTTGGGGTTTTAAATTTTTTTTTCAGTGAAATAGATACCTTAGCTTTGAGCATAAAGGACATTGAAGCATTTCTTTAAACAGTGATGTTATAAAGACTTCATGACAAGGAGTGCTTATACCTGTTGCTCTGTTGTTGAAGATTTTAATCTAGAAACTTGAGATTGTTTGTACTGAGGGAAAACTTGCTTGTATGTCATTCTCTTAAAGAAGGTTGTCTGCATTTTGAACTTAGAATATCTGTAAAATGACTGCCTTCAACTTCTAAATATTTAAATGTAGGTAAATGAAACCCACTTTAGAAGGCTGTTTAGAAGTGGATAGCATGTGCATGAGTTTCTTGTTGGTTTTCTGATAATATAATATTGTACTGTAAAGTAAAAATAAATAAGACAGTTGCTTTGGTAGCCAGTAAGTTTAAGTATCAAGTAATGAATTCCTAAGGTGGAGCTGGAGTCAATTTCCTCATTGACAAAAAAGCAGATAGTTTGCAGTTAGATTCATGTAGTTATGTTTCAGTTGATGTTTGAAGTTTCGCAAACATCAGAGCTTACAAAATATGATTTTTGCCATGGTAATTTTTTAGTCAAATTTATGGGAGAGGTGGGTAGGGCACAATATTTTTACGAAAGTTACCAAGAATGCATTATGTTTGCTTACCACAGCTAAACAATAACTGTATCAGGGTCATTTCCCCACTGGCAAGGTGTGCCCCTGGTTACTGAAATTTGGACGGATCATGCCGCAATTCCCTGACTGAACTACATCTCTTTGGCCTTATGTGCTCTTCCTCTGAGACACTACATCATGAAAGTCACTGAGTTTCTTTTGGCTGTGATATCTTTTGTTAGACCACCTAAATAGTTGAAAAAATTGTTCTTTGCATTATTTCACTTGGTCAGAAATGCTACCTTAATGGCCCATTTCCGCTGTTTTGAAGTATCTGCAAGGGTAATAGACTTAATATTTTATATCATGGGGGTAAAAAAAAGAATAAAACAAAGTCTGTCAGCTTAAGAACTGGCTTAGTAGCTAATAAAACATCCTATGGGTTTTGTGTACCCATCCTGTCCCCAGGTCCCTGCCCTCCTGCCCTTTCCCATTTTCATTAAAAGTTTTTCCCAGAGAACAGAAATCTTGGAAAACAACATTCATCTCCAGCTGTTTCCTTTTATCTGGTGCTTTTGCAGGGTCAGTACTAT